TGGCCCGGTCGGAGCGGGTTCGTCCGCAGGCGCCTCCCGCGCCGCTGGGTCACAGCTCCCATCCTCCCCGGCCGGCGCGGAGGCAGCTGAGCAGTCCCACCACCCCGTCAAGGGGAAGGGGCCCATCATCCCCAGCTGCTGGGCGCTCCAGAGCTTGAGACCTTGCTGCCCCAGGATGCCAGCGGGGGAGAGGGAGATCGGGGCCCCCATCATCCCCATCCACAACAGAGGGGGTTGTGCGGTCGGGTGGCTCCATGGTGCTCTTGTATCCGGCTCCCATCCTCCCCAGCCACAGCGGAGGGAGCTGTGCTCGCACGCAACCCCAAGGTGCCAATGGAGGGGAAGGGCCTAGGGTCCCATCATCCCCAGCCCCAAGAGAGGGAGACTGTGGCGGATTGCGGAAAGTCCTGGCAGAGCTTGGTAGGGATTGTAGTCCTGCCCAGAGACAGGAGCTCCCCTAAGCTCCTACCCAAATACGCCCTGCCTGTGTTGGCTGGGGAGGGGGGACCTTGTAGTCCCACCCTAAGGGAAGGCAGCAGGTTGGGAGGAGGAGTTAAACCACGATGCCCATCCTGGCTGAGGAGCCCCACTTCTGAAGAAGGCCAGGCTGGGAGAAGGGATGAGAGCATAGCTCCCATCATCCCCAGCCACAAGCCCACTTTCCTATTCCTGGGAGAAGCTGCATCGGTTGGAATTCTCACCTTCTGGGCCGTGTCCTGTGGATAATAAAGTGGGGGAGAAACAGCATCATGCTGGTGTGAAAATGAAGTGCAAATTACAGAGACTCTTGGACCAAAGACGAGGTCGGGGGAAAAGAACTCACTTGGGCTGCAGAACCCCTTCGGAGCTAACTTTGCAAGCAATTTCGCACTCCCAAAGCCGAGATCTGTGGGTGTTTATTTCTGGACACCCTCCTCCTCCTCCTCCCGGGAGCCTTGTTGGCTGGGGAAATTATCCAGTGAGCATTTAATTCGAGCAAACAACTCAGCTGGCAGCGGGAGTTTCAGCCTGACGGGGACATTTAGTTCCAAGACAGGAGCTTGCAAACATGTTCCACTTGGACTCCTCTTGCCTGGAAATTTGCAATACCCGCCTGAAACCGAAAGCTGCTGATCTCGTTTGCTGCAACCAAGGCCTGGCGGATGCAAGTTCTGGTATCGTGGTGACGAAAGCTCGGTGCTGAGAACTGTCTTGCTGCAAAAGTGGTGCTTTTGGATCCCCCCTTCCATACTGCATTAAAAACTGGGTGGGCAATGGATTTTTTATTTATTTTGGATTGGGTTGGCCACCTTGTCTGATGAAAAGATTCCGAAAACAGTGAACGTTTCTTTCAGCTATGGTCTTTACGATCCCACCATCGTTCGCTGTGGATTAAATGTCTTCCCTTGAGGGTTTCTTCCTGCCCTCCTAATTTGAGTGTTTTTACGAGGTCCGAATATTGCAAAAGTTCCGATCCAAAGAAGCGAGGCCTTGCGTGGGGCAACCTGGCCCCGCCGTCTTCTCACTTTGGATGACCCCGAGATTGTCCGACGTGGAAGCTGACACCTGGCTAGGTCTCGTGGAAATCCAGTTGCTTCAGCGTCAGCCGAGGGACCTGGCAGGTTTGCAACCTTAGTGAGATGTCTAAGTTGGCAAAACTACCTTGACTGTTACATCTGATGAAGTTATGCATAATCTTTAATGCTGCGGCGTGAGTGACAGTTGCTTCTTCAGGCGGAAATGGGAGCATAAATCTTGCATGGGGGCCCAGCCTCGTCGCTCAGCCGAACACACTTGAAGTCTTCTTACCTGAGGAATGGCTACGAGCACAAACGGGGAGCCAGCCTCTAATTGGCTGAATTGGACCTCCAGCGAGGGGTGTGCGGTAACCGAGCCTCATCTGGCGTGAACTGGCGCTTTTCCGCACTGACCTCCCCTTCCCGTTGGGATTTGACTCCTTGTGCACGGCAAAAGTTGGGAACAATTGCCAGGCTCCCTGAGAAATCTATTAGAGCAGGGGAAAAAAGGGGATTCGTTCAGGTTTAAGTCCTAAGGGAATGTCCATATCCTCCAGTACGGTCTGGAGCTAACAGTGGGGAAAGTTTCCGTGGCTTTTTTAAAAAAAAAAGATTTGTAGCTGATTTACCCTCTTTTGCCTAAACTCCCACACTAGCACGGGCCGTGTTATTTGCAGGTGGGCCGTTGAACTGGAGACAGATGTTTCCATAAATGGAGTTTATGTTTAAAATAAGAGTTTAAAGCTTCCTCTCCCTCATTCTTTCCACCCAGCAAGGTGTTTTATGGCAATTAAGGCAACATCCTCTCCCTTTTAGATCCACCATCTTGGACTCGTTTTCTCGACAGAAGTACATCTGTTTCACTCTTTTTCATCCCTGAACAACTGAACCTCGAAAACAGTTGTTTGCCCCTTGATGTTGCTCATGTTTTCTGTAGTTCAAAAGTAGAATTTTTAACCCGTTTGCCTCGGTTTAAATGCAATCTTGAACATAAGGTATGCGGTTTTGCTGTCCGCATCAGGGTGGGCCACTCATGGGGTCTCGACAGGCGAGAGTGAAGACAAACACGCAGGTTTTCCTCGAGGTGAGTGAGCCCAGAGCGTGTTCTGAACTACTCTTTTATTGGGTATTACAAGTCAGGAAG